CACATCCGAATAATTTGCATTCACATTTTGCTAATTATATTATTGCAACACTAATTCCTTCTATGACGAACGTATATTTGCATTCACATTTTTTATTAGCGTGAGTTTAATGTATTTTTAAATTACCTCCTTTGTCAAAATTAGAAAAGAGTTAAATTCATTTGATTTTTCTACCCTACTGTTATTATGTTATTAAAATGTATCCACTTTTTCTGGGAGCCTAAACGAAAATGATATTTGACATTAATCTTTTTAATACGTTTTAGCAGTTTGCGTGTATTTAATATTCTCTTTACGTTATGCGAAAGAGTAAAAACCGTGGCAATTATAAAATAGCTCTATGCCGCTATATAAACAAACCCTACTCTATTACTTATAATAAGACACTGCGGTGCACTGAAAAGCACAGCATGGTGCGAATGTTTACTTTTAGAGTCCCAAAATCTATAGCGATGACGGACGGAAGGAAGGACAGACACAGCCCGCTTATATTATAGATGTAGTATATGTTTAATAGCCTAAAAGCTTTGATAACTTGCATATATTTAATAGTTGGGACATGTATAATAAATGAGATAGATATAATATCTGGGATTGATTTTATATATTTTATAGCTAGTCCATTTACTCTCCGAACTGATCTTTTAGTATCTAAACGAAAAGGTTTTTAAAAACGGTCTGATGCACAATGTAGACAACACAGATTGGCAAGATTATACACTGGCTTTTGCTTTATTTAAAACTGGGTTTGGAATTTAGAGCTACTATAATTATAAAAATGTAATTTTATTCATTGTTTTAAGTACTTTAATTCATAAAAACATAGTTTTATCAATCACTTTTTATAAAAAGCTTAATAAGTACTCATTGACATATTAACTGCTTAACAAATTATTTATCAATACATACGCTTTCATGGGTCTTTCTTTTTAGAAACCTATTATTGTTGATATGCAATTCTCTGTCTAAAATCCTCTAGATTTAAATTAAAAATTTTGAACTATTTTAAAAGTTATAAATAACGTCTTTTCAGAAAACAATGTAAAGTTGAAAAACTGGATTTCGGTGGTATTTTTAAAAGAACAAAAATAACACGATATTTAAGTAAACGAACGAATGAAAGAATATCAATAAATAATTTTAAACATAATCAAAATGATCGATAGTCAATGACTTGATGATAGGCCGGGCCTATAAGGCTATGCTACTTGTTGTGTTCCCGTCTAAATGTGCTACACATCCGACCTCCAGCTCGTTCGTGTTTGTTGTAATACTGAAGTGTGGACTCCGCAAATCTTCAACAATATTTCTGATTGTTTTAACAATTGCAGAAAACCTGACAATATTTGTTGGTGTCATTGTTACACACGTCATGAAGTACTTTGTACAATGTTGCTGTTACTCCTGTTATATTTAATAAAGCTGTTTGATGCAAAACATTGAGATTAGCTTCATATTGGATATTTTATAATGTTAAACTGAAAGAAATAATGTTATTGGTTAAACTGTATTTATAAGAATTCATTTGCTTATGTGACACGAATGTGTGTATGGGGTGTTGGGGGGGGGGGGGGTAGGGAGTGGACGACATGAACAGAGCAGTGTCAAACTAAAATTTGTATTGACCTTATGAATGTCTAAGTTCTAATCACGAGACCACTAGCCTCAACGCTAAAAGTTGTTCACATCTTAACACAGACTCTCACTGTTGTTACACGTCAATTATTTCCTCTTTTCTTAAAAAAAAAAAGTTTACGAGTTTAATAATCCTGAATTTTGGTTCAGTGTGGTCAAGCGCACGACTGCTAACACGAATATCTCGAGTTCTGATCTCTAGTCTGAGACCACTTATCTCTGATTGTGACTTAACTCATGGCAGAGAAAGTAAAGATAGCTGGACTTAGAGCTAACCACACCAACATCTCATAATGCCAATGTCACAGCAACATGTGAACACCATCTGCCCCATGGAGCGTCAGTATTTGAAAGGTAATTTTATCGTTTGTTTTCAAAGGATTATTTCAATGTTTTTTTTTTTAAAAGGTAACTAGACTGTTTGTTTAAAAAAAAGGTAACTAAAAGATGGTATACGAAAATGTTTTTTAAACTTATGGTCTACGGAATTTTTTTATAAACGAATTGTCTACGGAAATGTTCTGTGAACTGGCGGTCAACAGAAATGTTTTGTAAAATGTTGGTCTACGGCAATTTTTTGTAAAATGTTGGTCTACGGAAATGTTTTGTAAAATGTTGGGGTAAGGAAAAGTTCTGTGAACTGGCGGTCAACAGAAATGTTTTGTAAAATGTTGGTCTACGGCAATTTTTTGTAAAATGTTGGTCTACGGAAATGTTTTGTAAAATGTTGGGGTAAGGAAATGTTCTGTGAACTGGCAGTCTACGGCAATTTTTTGTAAAATGTTGGTCTACGGAAATGTTTTGTAAAATGTTGGTCTACGGAAATGTTTTGTTAATAGAGATATCTATCGACCATATGGGATATCCGTGAAGGCATCAACTGGTTAACTTTTACACAGGCTGATTGTAAATGTGGGGTGTGTGGGGTGAAATTGTTTAGCGGTGTAAGGAAGTGTCGGAGTGTGTGTGTGTGTGAGAGAGAGTGTTAAGTGTGTGCTTTCATACTTTGTTCAGTACTGTAGGATTTCAGTAAATGTTATTTGTATGTATTTTGACAATATATGTGGTGTTAGTGTTTGGGGTGTCAGTGTGTGTTATCGGTGTGTGTAGTATCAGAATGTGGTGCCAGTGTATGTGTGACGTCTGTTTGTGCAATGTCCATGTGTGTGGTGGCAGTAGTGTGGTTTCAGTGTGTGGTGTCAGTGTGTGGTGTCACTAATGTGTGGTATCAGTAGTGTGTGGTGTCAGTAATGTGTGGGGTCAGGAGTGTGTGGTGTCAGTGTGTGTAGCATCTGTGTGTGTGGTGTCAGTATGTGGTATCAGTATGTGGTGTCAGTAGTGTGTGGTGTCTGTGTGATTGTGGCTTCTGTGTCAGGGTGTGTGATTTTAGTTAGTTTTATCAGTATGTGTCAGTAGCGTTGACAACAATATGTATACTCTTATGAGAAAGTAGTAACACCCGTATGTAAGAGCACATATATGTATATAATCCGCATTTCTAGTAATCCGTGAAGTACTTGCGTGCATCAGTTACTTCTGGGTTTCGAACTTTATTTTCATCTATTATTTATTGGACTACGTGTTGATATGAACTCAATCTCACTTACACATGAGCGTGATTTCCCTCTTGTGTTTTATTTATTTTAACCCGCCGCTTAATTTTTTCTAATTCGAATTCGGGTACAAGTCAGTAGAACTTCACTGAGTCCACCCAGCTCTGATGGGTACCCAACTCATTTTAGAGAAAGTAAAGTCGGCTCTGCAAAGTGCTGACCACACCTTTCCCTCATATATCGAGGTCGAAAACATATTTCTATTCTACTTCATCTGTCCAAGGGATCTCTAAATCTAAAGATGATTTTTTTACTTTATAATTGCCTTATGTAAACGTAAAGTGACATTTGGACGTGATTGGTTGTTAGGCATACATTCACAATTTTCTGTAAGTCTGAGATAATGTGGTAAGATCTTTTGTTGAAGAGGTTTTTTTTAAATTTATTCCATATAGCTAGTCAGATAAACATCAGCCAGGATACGACCTTAAGATTTTCAGCTAGCAGAAGTGAGACCTACCGTTGAGTGAGACCTGCCGACATTAATTCCAATAGTGTATCTTTTTTTAAAACTTTGACGAAATTGAAAGCATTTGAGAACACTTGGCAAGAACAAAAGCTCAACGGAAAACTAGACCCAGTGTAAACTAAGATAAAAACACACATACTTTTATTTTAAAATAGGCATTTGAATTGTTATACAAGCTAATTAAAGAGTTTATTGTTGGAAAATTATAAGCCAAAACCTGCAAGTTCATTAGTAATAAGTAAAAATAGAAAGTTATACAAACATAAAAAAAAAAGCTTAAAATAAAATGAAAATATAAGTTTTCCCTTATATAATAACTGCTAATTGAAATATTTAAAACAATTTAATAAGAAACACTCTGTTTCAGAAAATATTTTAAAATGTGGAAAAGTATATTGATTTATTTAAAAATAAACTTAGTTATTAAGCAGACTATGTGTTAACAGAAAATAAAAAATGACGAAATTTTCACAGTTTATCTCAACACTTTAACTCTAAATTAATTTAAATTTTAAACGCATACCGTTATCTACATTTCCGGAATGTTAAAGTATTAAGAGTCAAAATTATATAAGGTTATTTTAATTTAGTAGTTTCCTTATTAACCTATTTGCATGCGATATTTTAATTCGTTGATGTTTTAGGCAGGAACACATATAAACAAACAATTGAGCCTTGTTTAAAGTAAAATTTTATTTTGAAAGAAAATGTGGAAAATTTCATGTTTATTGTAAAATTAAATGTTTTTGTGTGGGTGTATTAACCAGTGCAATTTATAAAACGTGGCGTTCGAAAGATAAAACAAATAATGTAATATTAATACTGTGTTTTTGCAGACATTTGTCTTCTTCGGGAGAAGGAGGGGGGACACTTGAAATTTTAATAATATGGGAGAAGGCGGCCTTAAATTCCCAATGGGTGGGGGGGGGGGGGGTTGTGACGGACAATGGTTAAAGTATACATTTTCTATTTAATTTTTCTTTTCATTTCATTTCGTTTTTCGTTCCCAATGGGTGGGGGGGGGGGGGGGTTGTGACGGACAATGGTTAAAGTATACATTTTCTATTTAATTTTTCTTTTCATTTCATTTCGTTTTTCGTTCCGGGAGGGGTGGGGGGTGGTGAGGAAGACAATGGTTAAATAATACATTTTTAATTTAATTGTTATTTTCATTTCGTTCCGGAAGGGGGGGGGGGGGTGAGGAGGACAATGGTTAAATAATACATTTTTTATTTAATTTTTATTTTCATTTCGTTCCGGGAGGGTAGGGGGTGGGGAGTGTTGAAAAATCAATCTGATTTACAGATCGATTTTTTCAGTTGGTTCACGCGGTCACAGAACTTTTTGTCTTTTGGATCCACTTTCAGAAGAGTTAAGCGTTGGAGGCCGGTAAAGGCCTCGACTGGAGCTTTAAAGTTTGTGTTAGCTAAGTAGATCGAGGAAATGTGAGGGGTGTTTTGGAAAGCCGTTGACGTAATTGTCAAGGTGTTACGGAGATTGTTTGACAAAAACAAGTGCTGTAGTTTTGAATTGCGTACAAAGGAGTCTTTTGTTATGATGGAGATATTGTTCATTGATAAATGTAACATTAGGACAGATTTCGGTATGTTTTTTATTTGAGTGATGGCGTTGCTTTTTAAGTGCAAAATGGTCACGTTTCGTGGTAGATTCTCGATAGTTTTAATATGATTAAAATCAAGGACTAGATCGGTAAGATTTTTCAAAGTGGAAAAAGCAGTAGTTATTTTATTAAGTCGCAAACCGTACATTTTAAGCTGGGTTAAAGATTTTGGGAATCTGAGCCTTGTTGAAGATAAATTGCTTTTAAAAATCTCAAGATTGTTTAGATTTTTTAGCTGGTTAAAACTTATAGGCCAGTCAACAAAATTGCAAAAACTAATATGTAAAGAGAACAACTTGTTTTGAAATCTAGAGAAAGAATCTCTTTTCAGACCATCCATCGATACGTTTTTCATATGAAGTATCTTTAAAGATCTTAGCATTTCAAAAGACGCCGACGCATTTTCAAGGTGTACATCAGATAAAAATAACCCTTCAAGGTGATCTGATGATTTCTTCCAGGCCAGGCCGGAGATCTGCGATCTTTGACCTTTGATTTCTAGAATCTTCACCGCGGGCAGGCTCAGGTCGGGGAATGACGTCATCGGACCACTCTGTTATAGATAACATGTTTACATCTTCAGTAGCATATAATAATAACATATAATACATTTTTATTTAGATGCATAGAGGTTTAAATGAAATTAAATATATTTATAAACATATATATATATATATATATATATATATATATATATATATATATATATATATATATATATATATATATATATATTGTTGTTTTTTTGTTGTTTTTTTTTAATTTAAACAAAAATTAATTTATTTTTTGCATATATATATATATACATTCATGAATACACTTTAATGCAAGTACACACTAACATATCTGTATCAGTGGCGGAAATACTATACAGCTAAACACGAAAGCACGCACGCAGAAAAAAAACAGTTGTTCAGAAAAAAAAAAAAAAAACTACATGAGCTGTAGTCGGAAAGATAGACAAACCTTCAAAACACTTCCATGACTTATTGACATTCTTTAAATAGTCTAATAGGGGTGCCTAAAAAAGCTAATTTAAATAGTTTTGTAGTAAGAAAATTTTTTTTAAAAATTCTTCTCTTACTTGTTATTAAAATAATGCTTAAGAGACTGAGAAATTAATTTTGTAATTTAAAATTAATTAGAGAATAAATTGACTTCGCTCAGCATTAAATATGATTTATAACAAATATAATTAGCGAATAAATGACTAACCTCAATTAAATATGTTTAATGAGAAATACAATTTGTGAATAATTTGACTTACCTCATTAATTAAATGTGTTGTCTTTGGTAATTCATTAAAAGTTAGAGAATCGACCACCTCAACTTTTATCGTTATAGGTTCCTCTTTTATGAGTTTACAAACCTTTGATTTCATTAATTTGTTTACATTGTCGCAAAAACCTGAGTAATCTGAGTCTACTGCTAGCAGCTTTAACTTCTTCAGGTTCTTGAACGCCTCCGGTGGAGCAGTGAAAGACGTTCGTTCCAAATCGACTTGGGACAAACGCGGTGTGTTTTGAAAAGCTGTTTCCGTGATGTCCAAATTACGGAGGTGATTGTGCGACAAAGACAAGGTATCGAGCTGAGAGTTAGGTTTAAAACAATCTTTTGTTAAAGAGGAGATGCTATTCTTAGATAAGTATATTGCGTTGACCGATTCTGGAATGTTTTTAACTGTCGTAATGTTGTTTGCTGATAATATGGCTAGGGCCAAACCGTTTGGTAAATTATTTATTTCGGTGATTGTGTTCCCCGCTAACGACAGCGATTTTATATTTCTTGGCAAATTCTCAATTTTTGCTATCTCGTTGGAATCAAGAAATAAATCCTCGAGTTTGTCTAAATTTAAAATAGCTTTTGGTATTTTATTCAACCGGTTTCCGGAAATGTGAATCTTGATTAAAGACTTTGGTAATTTAAGATCAGTTAAGGATAAAATATTACTTTTCTCAATATATAATTCTTTGAGCCCTGAGAGTTGATCGAAACTCACTGGCCAATCTCCATAGTTACCATCTCTCAAATGTAATTTAGCCAGCTTGTTTTGAAATGTTGAGAAAGAATCTTTTTTCAGATTGTTCAGTGTCGTGTTATGCAAATCGAGAGAGGTCAGCGATGTTAACAGTTTGAATGACGCGGCAGCATTTTTAACGACAACTCCACTTAATGATAATTTATCAAGAAAGTTGGATGAACTCTTCCACGCTAAGTCAGAAATCTGCGATCCCATACCAATGATGTGTAGAACTTTCACTTTAGGCAGGCTGTTGTCGAAGAATAAAGTTGTTGAACTACCCTGTAAAATACATACATATATATATATATATATATATATATATATATATATATATATATATATATATATATATATATATATATATATATATATATATATATATATATATGCAGATTATAAAATTGACCGGATGTTTATAGGTTTTTATATTTATATATATTTATTTATTTGTGAATTTAAAGAGATCAGAAAATCTATGATGTATGAAGTACACTAAAATAACACTAATGAAAAAAAACAATGTTTTGTTTAAAATGAATGAAGGCACAAACATAAATGTATGTACATTTATTTGAATAAAATCATAAAGATATTCTAATTTAGAAACACCCCTTTGATTATATATGCTAACTAAATGACAACATTTGTCACCATGTTATATGCTTGTTTTAAGTTAGGTATTATTAGTACTGACTATTCTGTGCCTATGATCTAACATTCTTTGCGTAGTTGGTGCTTTTATTTTTGTAGTACATACAGAATATGGTGTATGTGTACAATGGTCTGTTACAATTTCTTATTTTTTTTTCGTTGGCGTTAACGTTACGCTATGCAATTGTTTGCTATTAGCGTGTAAAAATCTATATTATATTACATCATACATTTCCGATGTTTTATGTTTGTGAATTTTAATTATGGGGTTGTTGCTCATTAGGAGAGTGAAAGTAAGTGTCAAGCGGTTTTCTGTTTCATGGTTCCACTCTGTTTTATGTTTATTTTACTTGAGGAATGGTAGTTGATGTGTAGGTTAATTGTTATAATCAATTTTTGTTGCTGTTTTGAGCTTTAGTAATATTTAATGCTTTTTAAACGCATATATAGATATATATATATATATATATATATATATATATATATATATATATATATATATATATATATATATATATATATATATATATGGCATATATATATATATATATATATATATATATATATATATATATATATATATATATATATATATGGCATATATATATATATATGGCATATATATATACATATATATATATATATATATATATATATATATATATATATATATATATATATATATATATATATATATATATATATATATATATATATATACTAGCTGTATCCCGTGCTCCGCCACGGTAAATCGTTTTTAAAAGTACCAACTTGGGAACAGAACAAAACTAAACACAACACAAACGAACGCAAAAAACAAAACAAAAAAAAAACTAAAAAACAAACACAACACTCATAACATAGACACCATTTGAATGCAATCATACAGGCATATTGCTCACAGTCTAGCCCGTAGTGCCAAATCGCGACCTTTCCAGTGATTTGCACCCCCCTCAAACTTTCGATTTGCACCCCTTCCCCCCCCCCCCCCTCCCTAAAACTTTCGATTTCCACCACCCCCCCCCCTCGCACATTTTTTCCAACCCACTTTGGCGCCCCCTAAGGTCGGCACCCGGGGACATATGCCCCCCCCCCTCGCTACGCCTCTCCTATAAAACCCGAAAGATAGAATAATAATTAGAAAACAGTATAAATAATAGTCAGTATTTAAAATATCCGTGTTTTACCTACACTATTTCACTTTATCCATTCACGCATTTTTTTCCAGTACTTTAAATTTTTAAAATTTACAATAGAGTTTCATAACTAAAACCATTGCGCACCTAATGAACGTGATGCCGCGTCTATAATAGTGCTGAATAGTTGATTAAAAATTATAAGTAATAAACAGTAGGGCCTACATTCAGTGAATAAAATAAATAAAAGATTGCCTTTTATCAATCCATGCTAATTATAATTTTCTAACAATAATTTCCTCTTACACATCCGAATAATTTGCATTCACATTTTGCTAATTATATTATTGCAACACTAATTCCTTCTATGACGAACGTATATTTGCATTCACATTTTTTATTAGCGTGAGTTTAATGTATTTTTAAATTACCTCCTTTGTCAAAATTAAAGAGTTAAATTAATTTGATTTTTTCTACCGTACTGTTATTATGTTATTAAAATGTATCCACTTTTTCTAGGAATATAAACGAAAATGATATCTGACATTGATCCTTTTAATATGTTTTAGCAATGTGCGTGTATTTAATATTTTCTTTAAGTTATGCAAAAGAGTAAACACAGTGGAAATTATAAAATAGCTCTATGCCGCTATATAAACAAACCCTACTCTAATACTTATAATAAGACACTGCGGTGCACTGAAAAGCACAGCATGGTGCGAATGATTACTTTTATGGTTCCAAAAGCTATAGCGATGACGGACGGAAGGAAGGAAGGACAGACACAGCCCGCTTATATTATAGATATATATATATATATAATGCAATCGTCGCTTTAAAAACATTTCACATTTAAAAACATCAACCCTCTCCACAATTATATATATATATGCCATATATATGTGCCTTAACATTTACATTTGGACATCGCTGTAAATGGCTGGAATAAAACCTACCCAATATATATATATATTTATGCTAGCTGAGAGTTATAGCTAAGTAAATAGCTTAACTACATCGAACAAAGCAAACTGTCCTCATAATTAAATACGATTTTGTTTGACATAATAATTAGTATACAAAAAATGTAACGAGTTTATATATGTAAGTGTAATGTATATTACTCGTGCGCGTAAGCTTAAATGCGTATATATATTGTGTGTTTATGATCATTGTGCTTAAATCATCCTCACAGTTGAGAGCAGAGTTTCTTCCAGTCATCTCTTCAGGGGGGCTTTGCCCCCCCGAAAAAATTTTACCGCCCCCCGAACGAAATGAAATTTATATAATTTATATAGAAAATATATACTTTTAACAGTGTCCGCCCCCCCGAAGAAAGTTTACCGCCCCCCCCCCCCGAAGATTTCAAGTGCCCCCCCCCCCCGGAGAAAAAAGTCTGGAAGAAACACTGGTTGAGAGAGGACATAATCACAGTGATTATTTCCTCGACTGATTGTGTAGGGAATATTAGCACCTTGCGTATTTCCCCTATCGTTGGCCGCCATATGCATTCCATTTATTTGCCCTGGTTTAACAGTAAATTTAATGTACACGAAAAAAAAGTATTCTGTTACATCAACGTTATTTTTAGTAGGATATAAAGCGCTTGCTTGGATTAATCAATCACTTCATGGTCTCCATGTGCTGTAGATGTGGGTCGCATATGACACCAGCGACACCTTGAGCCTATCCTATACCGTAATGAACTTTTTTTAATTAAACGTGGTTGATGTTCTGAATATATACCATAGAAATTGGTGCACTTTAATTTCATTTAAATTTCTATACTATTCATGTCTAGATAAAAAGAATTCATTATATATATATATATATATATATATATATATATATATATATATATATATATATATATATACATATATATATATTGTGATATTTTTGTGTGATTTATTTATATTTATAATATCCGAAGAGAAAATATTTTTCATGTAACATTGATCTGTACCAGTTATCTTTCCTAGACAAGTCCCAGGTTTAAACGCAAATGTAATATACAATCTTTAGATAGTATTTTTTTTTATTGATCTTACGTGAACGGTTAGTTTTGAATTTTCTGTAACGTTTCTAAAAGTTTTGCTGTCAATCTTATCCACAGTTATTGAGAATTGTTCTAACAAATCTTCCTCATCCGTCTGAAAACCAAAAGTATCATGAAAAAAACATAATTTATTTCACGATGTCTAAATAGTTCCAATTAGGTGAACAATGTATTAATTTGTAGCGTTATAAGTAAAGTAGTTTTTAAATTGACTATCGTCATTTTTCGCTGTGCGCTACAAATTAATAATAAAATTATAAAATCTTTAAATGTTTCAGAGATATATTCCTTATTCAATTTAAATTATTATAAAAAAAAACACCTGAAAATCATAGTCCTGGTATTCGGCTTCTGAAAATAATAAAACAAACAATCTAATTACAAACATAGGTATAATTAACACAAGTTATGTTGCTCTAAATTTTGAAAAAAATGTGTATTAAGATAATGCAGCGGAATAATTACTATAAAAAAATCACACACCTCTGTCTTTACCTAACAGACACAGAAGCAATATGGAGAAAACGATCACTGATTAGGTTATAATTAAATATTGCGCAAAATTAATTACTTTAAAGTTAGCACTAAATTTCATCAAAACCTGAAATACACAAAAACAAAAAAAGAGAAAAAGAGTACAGAGAAACTTGTATTAAAGAATAAGCACGAAATTCCATCTTTACCTGAAATGCACAAAAGCAATACAGAGAAAACCATCACATGGAAAATCGTATCAAAGAACCCCATGCAATTGGTTACTTTAAAATAAACACAAAATGCCATCTTGTATTTAAGAATACCATCCAATCAATTACTTTAATATCAGCACAGAAATTTGTATTAAAGAATCGTATCCAATTAATTACTTTAAAATAAACAAATAAAAAATTCCATCTTGTATTAAAGAATCCAATCGAAATTAATTACTTCAAAATAAGCACAAAACTCCATCCTTACCTGACACACAAAAAAGCAATAAAAAGAAAACAAACACGGAAAACGTTTTCTGCATTTTAGAAGCCAGCAACAACTACGACGTCGTCCGTCAAAATAACCAAGAGCTCTGGTGACGCTGTGTAGCCTACCAAACACCAATATGAGTTCAGCTCACTAGTGACGCAGTGTGTAGCCTGCCATTAACAGGACACGTAGCGCATCTGTGTGGGTTTAATTAAAATTTTAACAGGGGAAAGCACCTAACGTTGCCCGTACGAGACAAAAGCAGACAGACGGAGTGAGCAGAAATATATTTTACCTAGGGTTACCAACGTTTGAAGGAGTAGCGTAGAGGTAGAGCACTAAACTGCTAACCCCAAGTTTTGAGTTCGAATCCGAGTTCAATTCAGTAGAGAGTCCCATAATCCACCAAACTCTGAATAGGGGGGGGGGGGTATCTAACTTTCGTAAGGAAAAGTAAAAACGGCCGTGCATAGTGCTGATCATATAATCCCTTTATATGTAGAGGTCACAGAAATAGGTGAAGTCTACTTCCCCTGCCCTTCACCGGCCTCATAGACCGTCAGGTTTGAAAGTGAATTTTACTTTACTAGCGTTACCAACAGCTATACCTACATTGTATTAGCTCAACCCACTTAAAATGAGGTTTATGTACATGCTTATGGTTAAGTAAACTAGGGCAAGTTATTATTAGACTTAACCTGTGGAGCTTGTCGATATAAAACTTGCAAGAATATTACTTTACAATACTACTATAAAATATTACTATACAATTCCACTATACAATACTATCATACAATCCTAATATACAATACTACTATAATATACTATCATACAATACTACTATACAATATTATCATAAAATACTACTATACAATACTACTATACAATACTACTAATATCAACCACCCAACAATGAATCAAACGTCATTCTCCCACCAGAGTTTTTCCCAGGCATCTCTTCTGGGGGGGGGGGGGGCGAAAAACGTTTACGCCCCCCCCCCCACCCGGACAAAATTAATAGAGAAAAAAAAATTTCAAATGTAGTTAACCCCCCACCCCCCTCTCCCCCAAAATGTTAAGTGCCCGTCGGATAAAACAGTCTTGAATAAACACTGATTCTTACGATATTATATCCCAACTGTCAATTCTGTCGTGTCTCCTACGTCATCGCTATTATTATCGCGTCAAACTCACACCACACACATTCTATTAAGGAAGTAAAACAACCATACAATCATACTCTCGAAACATATTGTCTAGTGTCAATACGAACTAGCTTTAAATCGTCCTTATTAATTCCTTCACTGCTCAGTCAAGGCATACATAAATCTAAAGCCATGAGGGTAATAATGCTAATTAAAATGTGTTTTTTCCCCGTAGAATATTGATTACAGTAGAAGGAACGGGCGAACATAAAACAACACGCGTGTATAATAGATGTAACTATTAATACACTGCTTTTAAAATTAAGTAGAAGTAACTAATAAAAGTTATTGTTTTTGAGAATCCCTTGACGCACTGAAGTTTGGACGGATGATACAAATCCAAATTATTCCAACACAAGAAGCCCAGAAAGGCCCTCTACATAAGCCCCTCACATACATCTCTGGATATAAGCCCGTATCCAAGACACCTGGGTATAAATCTGCACACATAAATTTGACTGGATCAGTTCGATTTTCAAAATTGTATTCTTAAAACAGTAAATATACAGGTTTGACGAAATACTGTTTTAATTACAAATATTATATTCATAAAACAAATCACTGTGCATCGTAAGCTAAAATTATTAACCCCGTACAAACGAAACATCTGTTACTAGTGAGTGTCAAGAATTGAATGATATACACTCATGGCAAAGCAGATATATGTGTATTGATCCAGCAATGTTTTACACGGCAATGAAAGGGGAATAATGTTTGAGTGAGGGGGGGGGGGGATCGGACCCGGCAGCAAACGTGAATTATTAGGTTTTTTAAAATGTAAGTTTTGTAACTAAATTTTTATAAATTTAAAATGAGTTGTTTTGTTTAAGTGCGATATGATTAGTAATTAGATATTAGGTAGTATACATAGTTTAAAAGCAGTGTGTACAATACAAGGCATCTTCGTTTTTCTTTCATATACGTTGAAGCCAACTTCCCTATAACTTATGCATTACTAGGCATACTGCCTTGCTTCGCTTAGATGTGGGGCGCTTACATTTAAACAGTAACTAGAATACCCGTCATCCGTTGGATAACTGTGGGTTTCGGGGGTCATCCATAAAAAAACATCACGTCTGTCACTCAGAGGCATAGCGACCCTTCCCGGCGCCCGGGGACAAACTTTTCGATTTTAACCCCCCCCCCCCCCCCAAGATTTCGATTTTCAACCCCCCCCCCCCCTCAAACTTTCGATTTGCACCCCCCTCAACCTTTCAATTTATTTTTCCAAACCATTTTGGCGCCCCAACATATGTCCCCCCGCCCCCCCCCCCCTCCACCTCCCCCCGCCTCCCCTTCCCCCCCGCCCCGCCTCCCCCCTCCCCCCCGCCTCCCCTCCCGCCCCCCCCTCCTCGCTACGCTACTGCAGTGTCACTTATGGTCACAAAAAACAGACCCCACATTCAAAAATATGTTTTTTATCTTTTAAAAACACCGAAAACACCGATTTCGGACTATCCCTTCATATACTGACGTCACATGTGACCTACTCAACTCTACTTCACCTGCCCAGTGTCCCGCCAAGTCTCAGACAACTTGTTTTTATCGTTTAAAAAACGATTCCAGCCGAGCATGTCTCTGACCACACTATCCTTTCATATGCTTAGGACAAAGAAACAGATGAACTCTACTTCACCTGCCCTGTATCCTGCCAAGTTCAGATAGGCAACTTTATCATTCACATCTAAAAAAAAAAATATTGAAAAAAAAATATCATTGACATATTGGTCTAGAACCTGTGCCACCCACATGAGAGCGGGCTACGCTACCAACTTAGCTATTTACTCGTGACGTCACAAATGAATTTTTATACTATACTTTTGAGTCTCCGCGCATAGATCTAGTAGTAGTAACTTTCAAATTAAATTTAATCTTAAATTAGCCAAACAAAGATTTATATAAAATAATTAAGGCCTGAAATAGATTCTAGATGTATTAAGGCCTGAAATAGATTCTAGATGTAGAATTTACATTAAGTCTAGATCTAGAAAAAATCTAGAATTTACACTGAGTCTAGTAGTGACCTAGAATCTAGATCTAGGCTAGATCTAGGCTAGATTCATAACTTCCCTTCGACAGCTGATCTTTAGATCTAGAGAAATTTATCGTAAAACTAAATGAAAAAGACAGTTGAAAATTGATATAAGTGTTGGAACGTAATAAATACAGCAAACGGACGTATTGTTTAAGTTATAGCCGGCAGAAAATTAGCTTTGTAACGCGTTAAACTTTTGAATGGGCCACAAAGTCTATGATGAGTCCGCCATTTTTATTGAACCAAAAAGTAAACACATCAAGGGACGTCACTATCCCCACAAAGTTTATTCAAAGTATTAACATTTTTAAAAAAATACGGTTAATTTAACAATGAATAAATCAATAAATTAATTAACGTCTTTAAATAAATTTGTGATTAACAGTCTGTCTGCATTAAAAAATTATTCTCTACCTACATACTATTTTACAGCTCTCCAGATAGAGCCGAACATATCAGGATACTTGATCAGGCAAACAAACAAACAAACAAAAAAACAAACAAAAAAATAAATATTCAAACATGTAAACAAACTTGAGTTTTAGTAGTATATAGATGCTAATTTTAGAGATAGTGGAAAGTTCGAAATTAGGACTAAAATGGAATTAGAACTACAGAGGTTCCATGAACAGTATATCTCATAAATTATATTACATTGCTTTTAAAATTAATTAACTTATTTAATTAGGATACGTACCTTAATTAACAACTTAATTTTTTACTAAAACAAATGCTGTACTTCGTCATTTTCTGTTTATGTTTAAAATAGTATACTATTGTTTGAAAAATAATTATTTTTAAAAAAGTTACCTCCCTTGAAAATTGAACAAATGACGTATCTCTTTGTTGGTGACCGGAAAGAAGCGAAACGAAATAAAGCGCAACGAAAAAAAGCGCAAAACAAAAAGCGTAACGGAAAAAGCGCAAACGGAAAAAAAGCGAAACGGAAAAAAGCGCACACAGAAAAAAGCGCACACAGAAAAAAGCGCAAACAGAAAAAAAGCGCAAACAAAAAAAAAAGGGCTTACAAAAAAAAAGCACACACAGAAAAAGCGCACACCGAAAAAAGCGCAAACGGAAAAAAGCGCAGACAGAAAAAAGTGCACACAGAAAAAAAGCGCAAATGGAAAAAGCGCAAACGGAAAAATGCGCAAACAGAAAAAGCGCAAACGGAAAAAAGCGCAAACTGAAAAAAGCGCACACACGAAAAAGAGCAAAAAGAAAAAAAGAGCAAACGGAAAAATAGCTCAAACAGAAAAAAAGCGCACAAAGAAAAAAGCGCAAACGGAAAAAAGCGCAAACAGAAAAAAAGCGCTAACAGAGAAATGTGCAACCAGAAAAAAACACAACGAAAAATGTGCAAAAGAGAAATTTTCCTATCTTCCTACCAACCTACCTACATGCCTCATACCTCATAGGTAGGCAGACAGGTAGGCAGGCAGGCAGGTAGGCAGGCTAGTAAGTAGGTGGGCAGGTAGGTAGTTAGGTAGGTAGGTAGGCAGGTAGGTAGACAGGCAGATAGACAGGCAAAGTATGTAGGTAGGTAGGTAGGTAGGCAGGCAGGTAGGTAGGTAGGTAGGTAGGTAGGTAGGTAGGTAGGTAGGTAGTTAGGTAGGTAGGTAGGTAGGTAGGTAGGTAGGTAGGTAGGTAGGTAGGTAGGTAGGAGGGAAGGTAGGTAGGTAGGTAGGTGGGTAAGTGGGTAGGTAAGTAGGTAGTTAGGTAGTTAGGTAGTTAGTAAGTAAGTTAGTTAGGTAGTTAGGTAGTTAGGTAGTTAGGTAGTTAGGTAGTTAGGTAGGTAGGTAGGTAGGTAGGTAGGTAGGTAGGTAGGTAGGTAGGTAGGTAGGTAGGTAGGTAGGTAGGTTGGTAGGTAG